TATAATCCCTTTATTTATAAAGAAAAAGATGATAGTTTCTCTTTAAAGAATCAAAAGAACAACTTAAGAATTAATAATATCTAACATGCTAAACTTACTAAATGAATTAAATAGTTTTTCTTTTCTTATTTTCATCGTCAAGCCTCTGCCAGATTGTTCCTTAATGTTCTTGCATTGTTGTACCTCTCATCTTTGAATATTGATGCCCTTTTTAATTTTTTTAAAGTTGGGTTAAGCTAGGGCACATATCTTTCCTTTCTTTCATACAAAGTAGGAGTATCTATATTTCCAAGTGGTGAAGAGTTTGAATGCATGAATAACTAAGATATCTCCATAGGTCTAAAAGTTCTGAAGTGAGGAAACATTATCCAAAATGTTGTAGATTTACCAACTGTTATATGAAATTTTTTGCTGGAAATTCTTGGACTAGTGTGTACCACCTTCTTAGGAGCTTATGCCGCATTGGTATTGATCTTATCAGCCCATTATCGTACCCATTGTAGCTTTCTTATTTGACATCGGATAAGATGCTGATGGTTGGAGGTTTGAGTTGAATAATCTCCAAAGTGCTCATAGCTAAGGCTGGCTAGAAAAAGATGTGAAAAACAATTATAACTGTCTGTATATACATTTGAACATGACAAAAGCTACTTTACTAATGGAACCAAGTAGAAACTTGTACATAACATGATTACACACAATTGTTTATTACCCAGCATCTTGACCTTCAACTTCAAAGAACATATCCCAGGACTTAGCTTTTTAGTATGAAGAATTAAATAAAGATTGAATATTCTTAGCTTTCATGCGATCTTTGTTGCTGGTGAGTCTCAATTTGACCAAGTGATGCAACATGACCTCAATGCCTTGTGACTTGTTATTGCCTATCACTTGGTATATTGGCTTTTCTTTTACTGGAAGCTGGTGATGTAATCTGATGTTTCTCTTGCTAGTTAAAAAATTAAAAGAAAGTCTACCTATTACTTGGATGGTCCGCTTCTGCATATACTGGGTGTCTCTTATTGAGTTGAGGATCTAGTAGTCTTTCCAAGCGGAGAAAAACTACGTGACATAAGACTGTCAGGATTCCTTTGAAAAGCTGTCTATTCGCTGGGTGGTTTTTTTTTTTCAAAATCATTTGATTTGATCCTTCATTTTTGGTCAGTACGAAATAGAGTAATTAGATCCAAGGTTTGTGATTTCTGTTGACTTTCTTATGAAGATTATCAATGTGAGGGAAGCAGGTTAAAATCTTTGGCTGTTCACATGTGCCTACTTCTCCTTTTGTTCCTACTAGTTAAATAAAGCTAAATTTTGGTAAACCGTTAAAAACATTTCCTTTAAAACTGAAATAGAATAGTTGCTTTCTTTGTATACATTTGACAAAAGTGTGTGCTTGGAGCAATTTAATGAGAAAATATTGTATTGCTTGAGGATACTCCGTGTACTATCATGAGGAAGTTAAAGCAAATTTGCGAGTGAAGGCACTCTCCTCAAAGTTCCCTTATTACTAGTATCATGAAGCTAATGATATAACTTTATACCAACCTTCTGAGCATGGTCTATAGTCTATGATATACCTACCCTGGCAGTGGTCTCCAATTCTCTTAACCCACATGCTAATTTTTGCAAATGCGGACTTTGAAAGCTTGGTGGCATGAAATGTGGTTCTTTAATTGCTGAAACATAACGTGAAGTTGGTTATATCCAAAGCAAAATAAGTGAAGATAAATAGAAAAATAGGGAGAGTACAATTCAACTTCTGATAGTCTGTTCTATTCACTACTTTGAGGCGTGGTTATCTTCCTCTAGCTTGCACATGCTTATGGCGATCCTTCTCATAGATACAATCGATAAGAAGCTTGACACAAAGATTAGTGACTAGTGAACTCTCTTAAAATTTGGAAACAGTTTAGGAGTTTAACCTTTGCAAAACTGTCATTGGTGTGGAATAGAATATCTAAGGCTTTCCAATTTGGTCTATAAAAAAGTGGGATACATTACTAGAAAATAATGAGCTCAACAATGTTGCGACACCTAATCACATAGATGTCAGTGGCTCTGTTGTAGGCTTGTAGTTTCATTGTGGTATTCCAACTTCCTTTAGCCTAAACATGACTGAAACAATTTAAACGCAAGTCATGAAAGGCGAACATCATCTGATTTCTGAACCCATATCTGACAACATCAATGTTCTATAAGAAGTTAGAAATTTTAATTACTATCAAGTCGTGGATTAATACAGTTTAGAAATCAGAATAGATTTCTCATAATTAATATTGTAGTAGGCTTAACCAGTTTTGGTGAACATGCAGTTGGTTCAGGTAATCCTCGATTTTTTTTACCTCTATTTGGTCAAGTTTGTTTGTAAATATTGACTTTGATTTGGATACCCAATACATAAATTACTTGATTTATGTGATTCATCTAATAGCACCTTAATGCTTGGTCCCTGAAAGGAAAATTACTTAGAAAAGTCATGACTGGTTAAATAGAATAAGTTGCCCTTGACAATGTTTTGTTGCACCCTTTTTGGTTTCCTTTAACTTCTCGACATTGAGCATCTTTTCATGATTCATATTTGGCTGCTTGAGATACTTGATCTATGAATTACTTTATCAAATGGGAGTTTAACTCCTATATGAGTGTCTCTGCTCCTGTAAATAATATTGCCTAAATATTCTGGTATGATATAATAGTAATTTTCTTTAAATTTGATTAATGCTTTATTGCAGATTATGTTCTTGTATTGAAGGTTGTGGACCAGTCTTATCCAGCACCTGGGCTCTCTGTGACATTTTTCGGTGAGAACATGAGAAAGCTGCCAGATGTCAGATCTGTTGGAGATGTGATTAGTCTTCATTATGTTGAGGTACCTGCTATTACCCATCTGAAATATTCTTTACATAATGTGGGCTCTCTTTGTTGGTATACCCAGATTAGTAGCATTACTATAATTATATGTTCATTTTTCTGTGTGTAAACCTTTGGTTAGATTTTTTTTCTTGTCTAGTACTTTTCTCTTATAGATATTGCATCTGGTTTCTTGCTCAATGGAGAACTTGATAATTTTTTGGCTTGCCGCTGGAAGATTGATGACTAAAAATTTGCTACAAATATCAGGCAGGATGAACTAGAAAATAGGCATTACGTTGATTATGTAGGAAACTAGAATCCTTGGGAGTACTTATCATTTATCTTAATTAATGTTATTAGTGAATGTTTTATAAAAATCTTGGGTCTTGGAGTTCCTTTTGATGTTGACGGAGTATTGTTGGCTGTAGTGCAATATTTAGCATTGAAGTTTAAGTAGGGATGTTGTTGTCCATCCTTTTAGTCCCTTGGCTTTATTTGTGTCATGCTCGAATACAATTTTCTATAGCAAGTCCATCATGTTTGCATCCCTTCTTTTTATATGTCCTCTCGGGCTTGGAGAATTTGGAGGATGATAACTGATCTTTAGGATTAAAATTCCCCCTCTTGTTTATGGTTTTCTTAGCCAAAATTTTGCACTATCTAAGAGAGGGAAGATAATTCATGTCAATGACTTGTCATAGAATTGTTGAATTTTGTTAGACCTTCCATGGAGCCTTGCTTCATAGTGATCTAGTATCATAGAACTCTATCTTTTTGACTAGAAATTAAATTTCTAAAACTCAAGGGGTTAAACTAAAAATCTTTATTTCTTTATCAACCTCATGTCCCTCTCTGTTCCTCAATACACCCGAACCTATTCAAGTCGGGGTTGGGATCGATGGCCATGGTGACTACCATGGGCGAAACCCTAACCCATGGGATGGCTAGAGTTACCTGCTATCATTGGAAGCGACACCAGTGGTCGGAAAAGGTATATTTTTTCTTCTCTAATTTATAATTATTCATAACTAAGGTGAAAAAGAATTGACCTTTTTTTAAGCTCTTCTTTATCAGATCATTTCCTTCTTAGCAACTACATTTTTCTCTTTCTTTAGGTGTTAAAAAAATGTGGGGTTTGGTATAGATTTATAGGGTTCAATGACCCTTGAGTTCATAACTGGTTTTGGATATTAATTGTAAGTAAAACCCCCATTACTCAACTGAAATGAATGCATATAATTTCAGCTACAAACCCTTAGATTTTCCTTTGGATTTTTTTAATGAAAAAACCGGTTCTTTACATCCCCTACCTTAAATAAAGTTTCGTCCCAAACTTTATGTACATTGGTTCTCAAAAAGTTAAGGGTACTTCTTTCACATCTCATCTTCAAGCTCACAAGTTGCTTCTCTTTCTAAATGTTTCTTCCACTAAATCTTCACATATTGAACAGTACGTCGCTTGAGCACTTGTTCCTGTTTATCCACGATACATTCTGGCTGCTCCTCATAAGTTAAGTCTTCATTGAGCTTAATTGGTTCCAGTTCTATAACTTTAGCTAGATCTCGAATAAATTTTATTAGCATAGATACATGAAACACATTGTGGACTACAACCAAAGAAGGTGGTAAAGCAAGCCTATAAGCAACTTCACCAACACGCTGAAGAATTTCGTACGACCTCACAAATCTTAGACTTAGTTTCCCTTGGCTTTCAAATCTCATCACACCTTTTTTAGGAGATACCTTTAAAAATATATGATCACCTTCTTGAAATACTATGTCTCTCTTCCTACAGTCAGCATAACTGTTTTGTCGATTTTGTGCATTTCGAATATGCTCTCTTATCAAGTAAATCTTATGTATAGCTTGTTGCGCTAACTCAGGTCCAAGAAGTTTTCTTTCTCCAGCATCGTCACAGTGTATAGGCAAACGCCACTTCCTTTCATTTAGAGCCTCATATGTTGTCATCTTATTGCTTGACTGGTAACTATTGTTATATGCAAACACTGTCAGTGGTAAATACTCCTCCCATGATCCTTTCAAATCAAGGATATAACATTTTAACATATCCTTGAGAGTTGGATTCATTCTCTCTGACTGACCATCTATTTGTAGATGATATGATGAGCTAAAACAGAGTTTGCTTTGAAGGGGTTTGTACATACCTTGTCAGTACTGTGATACGAATCTAGGATCTCTATTGGATACTATCTCTACTAAAACACCATGAAGCCTGACTATTTCAACAATATAAAACTTCGCAAGTTTCTCATATTAATTGACAAGAAGTAAGCCAACTTAGTTAGACGGTCACTATAACTCATATGGTGTTGTTACCTCTTATAGATCTTGGTAACCCTTTGACAAAGTCCATAGTAATTTTCTCTCACTTCCACATTAGTATATCGAGGTTTTGAGTTAATCTCGCTGGTTTCTGATGCTTTACTTTTACTTGCTGACAAATCTCACACTCTGAAACATATTTGCTAATATCTTTCTTCATATTGTTCCATCAGTACATCTCCTTTAAATCTTTGTATATTTTTGTTCTACCACAATGCATTGTATATCCAGAATGGTGAGCCTTCAAAATCTTCTTCTTTAGCTCTGGATTATTCGAAACACGAAGTCAAATTTCAAACCTTAAAGATCCATCACCATGTATCATAAAACCTGATTGGTTACCATCCTTGACTCTTTTCTGAATGCCTTTCAATTTGGAGTCTCTTTTTGAGAAATCTTAATCTCATCAATCAATGCAGGTTGTACTTGGATGTTAGCTAGCTTAGCTTGACATCAGATCTCAACTCTCAATTGATCCAAATCTTCTAATATATGCCTTTGTTGAGTAATGAGACAGACTATATTACTCTTCTAACTAAGGGCAGTAGCAACTATATTTGCTTTTCCCGGGTGATAATTAATACTAACATCATAATCTTTAAGTAGCTCCAACCATCTCCTTTACCTCATGTTCAACTCTTTTTGAGTAAAAGTATATTTTAAACTCTTGATATCGGTATAGATCTCACAATGCACTCTGTAGAGATAATGTCTCTAAATTTTCAAGGCAAAAACTACCGCCGACAACTTTAAATCGCGAGTTGGATAATTTTGCTCATAAGGTTTCAGTTGTAAGCTATGACTTTTCCGTTTTGCATGAGCACACATACCAAACCTTTATGAGAGGCATCGCTATAAACAATAAAGTCTTCTCGTGTGATTGGTATAGTGAGAACTGGTGCAGATAGTAGTCGGTTCTTTAACTCTTGAAAACTCCTTTCACATTCCTCAGACGAAACAAATTTGATTCCTTTCCGAGTCAAACGGGTCAAAGGTGAGGCAACACTAGATAACCCCTTTATGAATATCCGATAATAATACGCCATGCCAAGAAAGCTACAGATCTCATGAACACTTGTTGGTCTTTTCCAATTTACAACTGTTTTAATTTTTGCTGGATCTACCGAGACTCCATCCTTTGAGATAGTATGTCCTAGGAAGGACACATTATCCAACTAAAATTCACACTTCTCAATTTCATCATAGAGCTTTTCCTTCCTCAAAGCATAAAGCACATACCGTAGATGTTTCTCATGCTCCTTCTGGTTCTTTGAATATACCAAGATATCATCTACAAACATCACCACAAAGCAATCTAAGAAGGGCTTGAACACCATGTTCATGAGGTCTATGAAAAATGCAGGTGCATTTATTAACTCAAATGGTAATACAAGTAATTCATAATGACCGTAACTGGTACACAATGCAGTCTTTGGAATGTCTTTAGCCTTAATTTCAATTGATTCTCAATTAATGATAGCCCGATCATATATCGATTTTGGAAAATACCCGAGCTCCTTGCAATTGATCAAACAAATTATCAATCCTTGGTAACGGATATTTATTCTGTATAATCACCTTATTGAGCTTCTGATAATCAATACATAATCGCATGCTACCATCTTTCTTTTTCACAAATAACATCGGTGCGCCCCAAGGTGAAACACTGTGTCTAATAAACCCATTATCTAGAAGTTCTTATAATTGCTCATTAAGTTCTTTTAGTTCTAATAGAGCTATTCTATAAGGGGCCTTTGAGATCGGACTTGTGTCAACTAGACAATAGAAAATTATATTTTCCTATCGGGTGGCATTCCGGGAAGGTTTTCTGGAAAAACATCTAGAAATGCACGCACGATAAGAATTTGATCAAGACTAATTTCTTTCTAGCTCAAGATTTGCACTGATGCTAGAAAACCAGTGTAGCCACTTCTCAAAACATGCAATGAGCTTGAGGGCCGATATAATGCGCATAGGCTGCCCTCAAAGCAAAACTCCAATTGATTAGGAATTCTAAACATCACTTCCTTCTCTCAACATAAAGTAGATGCATAATTTCCAAGTAACTAATCCATCCCTAAAATGATATCATAATCATGCATATCAAGGATGATCAATTCCGCTGGAAGCTCCGTATCCACTATATTTATCTTATCTTTGTAATACTTATTAGATATCAGTATCCTATCTCCTGGTGTGCTAACATGCATTTCATGCTCTAGAATACCACATGGCAACTCTTGCTTTCTAATAAATTGTGCAGCAATAAAAGAATGCGAAACTCCAAAATCAAATAGTACTCGAGCAAAAGTAGAAAATATAGTGTGGTACCTGATGCTTTTACCTGAGCCTTCTGCTCGGTTAAAGAGTAAACTCTAGCTTTCGCTTGAGGACGCTGATCACGTTGAGGTGTCTTATGAGTTGGAGTTTTATTCAACTTGGGACAATCTACAATCTTATGATTCTTTTGACCATACCTCAGGCAAGCACTAGTCACACTTCAACTTAGAGGTGCATCTCGTCAACTTTTGGTTCACATTCTGCTTTTGAATCTACATATTGTCTCTTGTTTTGCCAATTCTTGTTATGACCTCTACATCTGTTCGATCTGAATCTCTTCTTCATATCATTATTCTTGCGATCATCAATCGAGAAAATTTGTTTTCGCTCTTT